AATAGTTAACAATGCAACTAAATAATAAACTTTGAATATAAACAAATGAATAACAATCTTAAAAAAACAATATTTTTTTATTACAATTAAAATAAAAAGAAAAACTTATGTACCTAATTTTTTTGAATCAGTCTTTGATTTACAAATTATAAGCATTTAATATGTGTTTACATAAGAGCATGAATAACTACAACAAAACTATTTTTGTTAAAAATATAATTTGGGTCCCTTTTAAAAAATTATTATATAATATGTGAACGGTATACAGTGTAATATGTTACCACGATCAGAGACAATGTAAATCAAAGAATTACCTATCGTAGTTGACAATATTATAGTCAATAAGAAATTTCCTGGTTGGGAAAACGTGCATGCATTTTGGAAATGTCACATTTAGCCATGATAAATCTTCCAGCAGGTAATGAAGATAAAAATCCATCCTTCTTTAGCCATCGTAGATAAAAAAAAAATATATTTTTATAGTAATTATGACAGTGTATAATGTTTGTAAAACGAATCGTTAAAAAAACATTAGTTCCGAAACGTATATTAAAATTGGTTACAAATACTAGAAAAAATAAAACATGTAGGTATAGACAAGTAGAATTAAAGCATCTTCCTGTAGAGAGAAAAAACGTAATTAACTATTAATAAATATAAATAAATTCAAAAGTAATCAGTTTGTAGTTTTGTACCTTCCATAATAATAATAATATTTAATGTGAATTCAATAGTTGTATAGTACATCCCCTGCAGTTGTGAAAGTAAATAGTTCACTATAATAAGTATTAAAAATAAATTAATGTACGTATTATCATAATATTATACCTATTAAGTTTAAATCATGTTAAAATTTAAAAATTCTTAATATGAATAGTATTGATTATAATAGTTAAAATTGAAAACAAAATAACAATACCTATGAATATTGTCATTATTATTATGTGTAGTTAATTTTTTATAAACTTTACTACATTTTTTACATTGTAAATAACATTGTAATTAAAGGTATACTGTTTTCAACATTGTTTATACGAGCATTAAAAATCAGTCCCATAATAATATGGTATAATTAACAAATTTATATAATATTTTTTAATGTACCCATCTGTTATGTGTATTTATCTAAAAACTTATATATCTATTGTACGGCAGTTCCATTGCTATTTGTTTGTTAATGTAATTACAATTGTAGATAATATATGTATACATCAGGTTTTATGGTATTCTGGCTATACATAGGCATTGTACTCGCCGTTATTATCTTAAGTACATAATTTACTTTAACATGTATATATATTATATACCAGACCATCAGGGCCGGTAGCGAACCTTTTTCGGGTCACGTGCCAACATTTTGTAATCAAAGTTTTAAAAAAAAATTCACGTGCCAGTAATATGTCATAGGTACCTTTACCTATATAATACAAGTATTAAAATAATTGGCCAACGTTCCATTGGCATGCCATCCTTGATATATCGAGGTTCTTGTAATGGTGGGGAGTAGGTATAAATATTCTATACATTTTTTTAAATTTCATAACAATGTAAGTTAAATTATAATATTAAAATTTGTGTTCAGTATTCTGTTGTAGGTATATTTTATTGTTTTTAAACTGGCAGATATTCAGATATTTTTCGAAGCCAAAAATCCATGGCACCCATTTTCAATACTTTTTTTTTAAATATTATAGTTCATCGGCGGTCAAACTTTTATTTTTTATTTTTATCTTTCACCACTGGTTGAGTGAAAGAGAAAGATAATTTAAATTAAGACATTTGAAACATCAAAACTTTAGAAGGACAAATAATAAATGATGATGAGTTGTATAATATGGCCACACCTGTCATAATATATAGCTTTTGATATTAATATGAAGAATATAATAAAACTGTCAATAAATGTTTGATGAAAATTTTTGAAACATGATGGGTTAAATAACTAATAACAAAAGTAACCATCAAATATTTTTTTCGAATTCTAGTTTTAAAGGTATTTAATAGGTAGGTACAATATACAATTGCAATTTGCACCAACTAGTGCAACTATACTGATCCTTGCATTATAGTTATGGACCGGATTTAGATACGCAAAATACTATAGAAAAATTCCCTGAAAAATGCATTTAATCGCAATAATATCCTTAAAAAATGACCCAAACATTTTTGTAACACTTATTGAGCAAATTAAAATACTAATTTATCGAAATAAACGTATCATGAATTTATATCATAAATAAATTGACTAACAAATAATAAATAGTAGGAACAAAGTTTCTTTTAATTGGAAATAAAATGTCATATAGTGTATAAATAATAAATATGCACTAAAAATTAACAAATTTACTTAAAAGTTATAAAAAATACTAAATATGAGCTAAGTTTTCAATTTTCTAATGTATCAAACGGATTTTGTACATACTTGAAAATCATTGCCTGAGACTTCCTAATAAATAATGCACGTTGCATTCAAATCCAATACCTAACTATAATAAACTAAATAAACTTACCTTATAATAATTAATTATCTTCTAATCATAAGTAGTAGGACTTTACAAAATAATACAATAAACATAGAAAAATATACTTCATAATATATGTACAATGACTATAAAACAAACGACTATTACATTAAATTAAAATGTTTTAAATTTGGTAACAATATCAGTGGGTCACACTCACATAAGATACCATAAATATTATTACAACTTTAAACTAAAATATGGGTACTAATATCACTGTTAATAATCGTTCAGTGCATAATTTTCCGATTAATGTTTTTTTTTAATAGAAAATTAAATATTTGTTCATTTTATCCGAGATAATACCCCCAAAATATGCGGCCCCCGGGAAATTTCACTCCAATTTCTTCCCCTCCCTCTTAAAACCGGTCAAGTATATTAGTCAAATACATAAATCTAGACTATATTTAGAAACTTAAGCGTTTGTTTTTTTTTTGGGGGGCGGAATAATTTTTTGGATTTTAAGTACCTTCTAGTATATAGGTATTTGTTATAATTGATAAAAATAAAACTTATTTTATTAATTAATGAACGGTGATTATCAGTACCTATATTATATTTTATAGCCGGATAGGTTGACTATGAGTCTTAACCATAATTCATTATTGTCATGGAATGCGTGCTCTATTAAAAAACGAATTCTTGTTTTTGCCTTCAGGTAAGACAGTTCGCAGTGGAAATGATAGTGAACTGCAGGACGTCGGATGAAGTTAAGATCATGTTGCGAAATCGTGACGGATGTAGGTTCAGAGGAAAGTTCCCGTACCCTAGACTGATCACAGCCATGGACTACAAGCAAAAGGAGTTCGTAGCTCACACCAACATCCAACAGGTGTTGGAGACTGCGTGGCTGGGCGATTGGATCGAGTGGAAGTCGTACTCGGCGACATGGAAGTTGTTGTACTTGCTGAGGCGATTCATTATGCTTCCGGTGACGGTGATTTTGGGAATGTTAGCGCCCAACTCAAAAATGAATCAATTCAACCGGTTACCGATTAACCGGATGTTCAACAGCCTCGTCACATACCTGGTGTTTCTCTGGCTGCTGTTCAGGCAATCGAACGCCGACAAGTTCGAGACACGTAGGGGAGCTCCAGAACTGAGTACGTGGTTGCCCATCGCTGTGTTCGTGGTTGGCCACGTGCTTGAGAAGTTGAAGCTAAGGCTGCAGCAGGGCCCGGAGCGGTTCTTCAAGAACCTGTGGAACGTGTTCGACACGGTTAAGTTGACGCTGTTCTCTTTAGCGTTCTTGTCCTGGATAGCTGCCGCCTTAAATATTATTACCCAGGGATCCGACGACCTGGACCGCAAGTACTGGCCCTGGATCGACCCACAGCTGGTTGCCGAGAGCCTGTTCACCATGGCCACCGTCATGGCGTATCTGCGGCTACTGTTCCTGTGCCAGCTCAACTACTACATCGGCCCCATGCAGGTGTCCCTGGGCAAGGTTCTGCATGACTTCGGCAAGTTCGCCACGTTTCTGTTGATCATCATGGCGGCGTTCACATGCGGACTGGGCACATATTATTCGTACTATGCGGGCATGGTGCACAAGGACCCGGAGACGGGTGAAACCACGAGGCAAGAGGACTCGTTCATCACGATCGCTGACACGTTCAAGACTCTCTTCTGGGGCATATTCTGCATGACCTCGCTGGAAGCGCCCAACGTGGTAGTCACCAACACGGTGGCTGCCACTGGCCATATCGACGCGGCCACGCAATCGCACCAGTTTACACAGCTGGTGGGTTACGGGCTGTTCGCCGTGTTCGAGGTGCTCATGGTTGTCGTCATGATGAACATGCTCATCGCCTCAATGTCGGACACTTTTCAAGGCGTCACTGACAACGCCGAGTACGAGTGGCTGTTTGGCCGGACCGAGGTATACGTCAGCTATATGCTGCTGAACGACATGCCACCGCCATTCAACCTGTTGCCCACAACCGGCCTGCTGTTTTGTGCCAAGCGGCTCGTGTCCAAATCGTCGCGTGGCTACAGCCGCATGCCGGGTGATGACGGGAGAGGCGACTTGGACAGCCGCTCGACAGCCGAGGACCCTGAGTTCCGCCAGCTCATGACCGAAATCATCAAGCGGTATTTCACGATGCGCAGGCCACTCGTTGACCGATGATTATTATTATTATTATTATTAATGTTGGTCCCCTGGCCGCAATGCACGTTATTCGCACTCCGACATGCCCCCTACAACTACACTGCACCATTTAGCATACCACCACCCCTGAACGACACCAACCCGTTTTGTCGTTATTGTAAATTATTTTTTTGTCGTTTATAATTTTTCATCTGTCAACTTTTATATAATATTATAATGAAAACATTAATAATAATATTATAACCCCAATTGGTCACTGCAACAGCTACACGGCGAAAGGTTTCGATGCGAGCATTTTATACACGATACTGTCGTCGCATAATATATCGGAGTAAAAGCGTCATAATAATGATAATATATAATTATGGCTACCTTAATCGAGATTGGCCTCTCATAGTCGCCACGCTAGAAAAATTGATCTAAATATAGATTCCACTGGAGTATATTGTCCTATATTATATTTTAATGGATAATAATTATATTAGAATTCTGTATGTACTTTCATATGTTTTTGAATTCAACAATTATTGTCATATTTTGTGTTCACTTATGTAATACAACACACTATTATTACCTAATGGCCTTATATATTATTTTAATTCCTAGTTAAGAAAAAAACAATAATATATAACTATATAATATTATTATTGTGCTGATAATTTGATGGTACCAGATTTACATTTTAGTTGTTTCGATTTAAATGAAAATCTACTAGAAAAAAAATAATAAAACAACATTTTATTAAATCATACAAAATGTGGTTCAAAACATATTTTGCAAATCGTGTGATAACGCTTATGTTTTAGACGAAGATGGCCGATTGTCAAAACGCTAAAATCTGTATTCAACAATTTTAAATAATATATAAATAAATACAGCTATGGTTTGCAGTCAAGAGGGAATAGTATATTATTCCATTACATAGGATGCATTTATATCAAAAAATGTTTAGTTACTGTTTGAAAAAATATATATAAAGTTACACAAAAATGCGTGTATAATACGTGAGATCCAGGTGGTAATTAAAAACAAATTTACTGACTTGTTTCTAACTGAGTTAATTTAATACTTTTTTCCGTATTAAACGTAAATGTTTAGAGTTAAATAATATATTGTTTGTTAACTATTAACTTATATTTAAGTTCTCAGCGTTGACTTAACGTAACTATAGGTATATATCTGCAGAGCAACTAAAGTTATTATTTCCATTAGCTCGCACACTTTTGAACATTTATAACAACTTGGCTAATTTAATATGAATAAATAGTATACCGTCGACTGGAACAGACACGGTAAAATTGTCTGTATATCATTAAAGCACTACGATATTTATTTACATGTTTATATACATTTATAGATTTCCATCGTTCGTCTTATAGGATGAGTATTGTATATTATATGCATTGTGTTGCGACCGCATAATGTGACACGGTTTTAAATCATTTGAATTAGGTACTGTCGCCGTGATTGACGGTGACCCGTGTATATAACCTATAACCAGTCTATAAAATATACGCATTGGTATATAATTTATTATACCATACGCGCTACTACACGATTTCGAAGCGCAATACTTGATTTATACTTTTGTGCGTAACTATATTATTATATACGCGTGTTTCGATGCGATTTAATGCGTCGACTATTATAATAGTCAGACGAGCCGACTTTAGGTTCAACATTGCGCGTTGATAAACGACGACAGACAGAGTCTCCGATACTCGATAACGTATAGTAGATCGACTAAAATAAAATTGCTAATTATGACAGAGATTATTGCTAATAATCGTAATTCTAACTGCAATCTACCTATCTGATCGGCCAATGATTAATACGCATTTATTACTATTTTATATTCACATGCTCTGCGTGATTGTGTAAAACACGTCATGTGGAGCCATAGGTTGCAGTGAGCGTCTGTCATACATCTACATGGCTACATTTAGCAGGATAACTTTATTGACTGGGAAGTGTTGTGAATAGATAACCAAAATATTAACTAGATAATGACGGACACAAAGTTCAAAAGAGGTACTTAATTTATATAAATATAAATTGATATATTTGTGTTTTTTTTATACAATACTGAAGTCGTATTTGTTATACTGCTACTCTTTCTCAAAAAAATACTGCGAGATATGACATTGTATTATCAGGGGTAAACCATGAATCCATAATAAATAATATTTCCAAAAAAATAACTTAAACAGAGTTTTTCACGTTAGCTACAGTGTCGACGATCACAACCGATTGATCGGAAATAATAATTAGTGACTATCGTCTTGGAGATATTTTAGATTTTGTGAATATTTTGAATTGTATATACTTAAAAGTGGATAAGTACAGTTAAAAAATTATCTACGATTTCATTATTCTTGAACGTCTTTCACATATCGTTGAAAATAAGTAATAACAGGTAGTTTGAATATACAATTTTTTATTAACTAAATAGGTATTCAATATAATAAAATAGATAAATTACAGCTGCAGATGACTAAATTTTTTATCAAAGATAAATAAATAGATATAACGTTCATAATTGTATACAGACATAAAAGTTTAAGATTATACTCGTATATAATAATATTTGTATCCACATAAATAAAATGTACGTACATAAATCTCAACACTAATTGTAGTGTAGTACCCTAGTACCTACTTAAATGTTCTACATTAAATTATGATACTTTGTACAATAATATTATATACAAAGCAAAAATGTATCATGATGATGAACTAGATAGTGGCATGACCAGCGATTAAACATATTAGATAATATTATATAGAAGTGTTGTCATTTTTGTTGTGGATGTTTCATTTTTTACAAACAGGGGATCCGCTAAGTCTTTATAATACGGTATTATTACTACGGTCCATATACCACTCGAAAATATCAGAACAACACAACATAATGCCATAGCATTGAATAGATATATAATAATATTATTGTAAACTATACGAACGAGTATTGAAGAGGTCGTGTCTATATAATATTTTATCGTATTTTTGTACTTGCGTATTGTTAACGATCGGGCTGAATGTTATGAAGGGTTTTCGAAGTCTCGGACCCCAAAAAAGTAATATTAAAATCTAAAATATTATGAATTTTACTGATAAAAAAAAAAAAAAAAACCATTTGTATTCATAGAATTATTAAAATTTTTAAATATATGTATAATTGGATATTTAACAATATTTTAATTTGATACTTTGAGATATCCGTCAAATTGCGTATGTACTGTAAATAATATTATAATAATTTATTAGTCACAAGTCACAACTAATAAGTTTGGACGGGGTTTTTTGTTTAGTATTAATTACGAGACTAAAACTATTATTACACAAACTAGTTTAATATTGGAATTTGTCGAATTTTGATAAATTATAGGTACCTACATATTAATATTATATGGAGTTTTTTACTGCAAGTTTATGATTTATTTATTAAATTTTTTAATAACTAGCAACAAATTTTAAATAAATACCTACATGTTAGTGCAATTTGAGTCAATTATATATGAAATATATGTTTATTCACTTTTTTGTTACATTTCGGCTACATTGTATTTCATACATATGTAGGTACGATATTATGCTTAAACTTGTAATTTTTTTTTTAAATTTCATTATATAATTTGGTTTTTCTTGGGAACAATAAAAGGTTTTGATTGTTCAGACTTAGGTTCTAGTCCTACATTTAAGGTGTTGAGTGTTTTGCAATCGTCGAGTTCCTCTTTGTACTTGCGACATTCCGCCAGAAAGTGTTTGAACATTAGTGTAACTCCGAAGGTTTTGCATGCATATATAGTCTATAGGTAGATCTTCCTTTGGAATTACAAGAATACGACACTATCGTAAGGTAATGGCAGGTAGATGAACATTTATTTCTTTATTTAGACCTAAAAGCCCTACAACATTAAGTATATTTATAAATTAGAATTATGATGATTTAATTACGTAAAAAGATTTAAATGTACTGGTTTATTTTCCAGGTTATTGTGAAAGTTTGGATTTTTGATTCTTAAATTTTATAATTATGTAAATATCTTATATTGATTTCTAAAAATGCCAAAAATCCAATAATTCTGAGAAGAAATCAATAATTAACTTATCATTATATGAAACAATTTGAAAATACTTGATTTTATTGAATATCATGATCATACGTGGGCTACAGTCATCATACTTGAGAATCACACCATAGCTGCACGTGTTGAAACAATTGCATATTGAGTACTCCTCAGGAAAGCCATATTTCCAATGAAATTTTTTTATTTTATAAATTAAAAATTTTGGGCACTCTATTTTAATATTTTAGGATTTAATAGATCGAATCTTGATGGGTGTCAATTCGCTACCATCTAATATAAAAGTAGGTAATTTCTATAATATGTAAAAAAATTTTTGTACTAAAAAAATACGATAATAATATAATGATGTACTTTATAAAAAAAAGACGGACGGTTTAAAACACAAATTTCCGTAGCGGTCGTTTTAGATTTTGTTATTTTTTGTAAAGAGTTTTTACGCACTCTCCTATCCACCACATAAAATAAATAAATATCAAACAGAGAAATAATATAAGAATGACTTAAGTATAGAATATTTATAATAATAATATAATATAGAAAATAAATACGCGTGAGTGATGTATATATAATATATGGTAAGTGGGACGATTTTCGATAAAATAAATAAACAAAAACGTTTGTTTAAAATTTCTATCTGCAAACGTATCGAGTTTTTTGTCGTATTTAGTATATACTCACAATTCAAATTTGACATTCTAAGAAGCCAAAATAGTGTAACAGGCGTTTGTGTTTTTATCAACAGCATACAATTATAATATTGTAATATACAAATAAAATGTATAACGACAAAGATTTAAGATGAATTTCGATTTTTTTTCTTTTAAAACAACATAATATTTATTGTTTATTACAAAACGTACGTGCACAATATAATAACAATATAGTGTATAGTGCATTATATTCAGAAGAAATATCTAACCAAAGGGT